GCAATAGGCTGAGTCTGTAAACCGCTTAGAGAGGGTTGTAAAGCAATGTGAAGCGGTATATAAGTCTAAGTGCTATTGCTATATGTAGCATCCAACCTTTTCTAATGAAAATTCTCATCATGGAACCACTCTGGCAGCTGGACTATATGAACACATTAGCTAGATGGAACTACCAGTTGCCATGTTTTCATTGGTGCTTATGCTCCAACACTTGTTGTTTCCTTCTGTAAATCAGTGGGAGGGAAAATACCTATGCTAGTCTGAGGGGCTGGTAGATATTCCATCTAGTCTCAGAACTAGAAATTACAAGAAAGATATATTACTGTATGGGGAAGGTGGATAGATTATATTCAGAAAAAATATGGAATTAAAAAGTTTTATTTATTTTATGAATGAATATCAAATATTATAGAGAATTGTTTTATAAGTTATGGAGTTAAAGGTTAATTATGATATTTTTTTTCTTTCTCTTTTTTTTCTTTTTTTTTAATTATTATAATTTTCTTTTTCTTTTTTTTTCTTAACCCTGTATTCTGCTCTGGGAAGTGAAGGGAGGGGGGGTGGGGGTGGGAGGGAGGGTAAGGGGGGGGTTCTCTATTTTAAAATTTTATTGTATTTTTATAAATGATTGTATGTTTTAAAAAATAAAAATTTTCAATTAGTCTCAGAACTTCAAGGGGAAATAAAAGTTTTAGGTAAGCAGTCTCCCCTTCTAGCAATGTCTTGTTTTAAGGGAGAATACCAACACACATAGATTTATGCCTGTAACTCAGTTGAATGCATTTACATTGAAAGTAGGTCTTTAAACTATTTTTCAGTAGTTTCAATGGACCTAAGTGCAAATAATTTACTCTAAATAATATGAGAGTAAATTGATTTTTACTCTGGGTTTTTATAACTGCTGGTCAACCAATCTCTCTTTTTGTATTATTGGTCATTTTTCAAGCATATAAATCTTTTTCTTTCAGGAGAGATTCTATCAAAGGTCAATGTTTACTGTCCAGTTTTTGACTACGTTCCTCCAGAACTTATCACACTCTTCATTTCAAACATTGGAGGCAATGCTCCTTCTTATATCTATCGTCTCATGAGCGAACTTTATCATCCTGATGATCGTGAACTTTGAAACTTTGCATTATGGGCTTAATTTATTTCAGCATAAATGGATGATATAACAAATACCAATATTTTCATTGGGGAAATAAATAAACTACAGAAAATGAAAGTGTTTCTTCAAAAGCATTTTTTTTAACCGCACTATCTCTATCAGCATGAGAATTCCTTGTGTTCTAGGTTTCTTACAATAACTTTATTAGTAATATCCCACAACATTTTAAAGTCTTCATAAGCCAGTGCCATACTAATTCAGGAATAGCCAATTTAAAGTCCCCCAGGTACTTTGGATTTCAGTTCCCATAAACATCTGCTTTTATGGTCAGTGACAAAGAATTGTGAGAACTGTACTCTAGTTTAAAACATTTGGATATCAGAATTGCTTATCTCTGACGTCAAGAAGGCATTTCTCTTAAATAGTTGGGAAAGGTTCTCTATAATACATAGAAAAAGCTTCAAAAAGGAGATAGAAAAGAAAACCGATTAAATATGAAATGGTAGTTACATTGCTTCTTAACCTATAGCATAGGAGCCTGTTCCTACTTTTGGTTCATCTAGAGTTAATAGATAGGTAATCTATGCTGCATGTTAGCAATAGCAAAATGATGGAAGCCTGTTTTTAAATACCAATTTGTTAAAAAAGTACAAGCTGCACTAGAAATTTAGCTCCCTTTATGAATTGATACAAAACACGAGAATTATTGCTTAAGTCAGAGTTTTGCTGAACTTACTGCAAATATGTGAAACTACTTTAGTAAAAAGAGGCAAGGATTCATTTTTTTAAAAAAATAAGACTTTTTTTCAAATTACCAAAACAGTTCCAGTTCACATGAAATTACTCCACGTTCCACAAGAGAACAGATTTTTGACTCCCACACAGATGTTCCAAAGTATTAGACTGCTTTCCAAATATTGAATTTTTATCTTCCATAATACCAGGGAATTCATAGTACAAAAATGAAAGTTTAGATAGCATCTGTATTCATAGAACTGCTGAGGCTTCAACTTCAAAAGTAGATTCTTTTTCTTTCCCAAAAAGCTTCCAGGCTTTAACCATTTTTCTTAATTTGGCCAGATTAGGTTTTGGCTGTAAGGGGAAAAAAAAAATGCCAATGATTTGGTGACAATAATTAAGATAATGACTCAGACAATCCTCTATTACTAATTGACATTCGGATTAACAAATGTTCAAATTTGTTGCATATTATTTGACATGAAATACAGCAGGGATCAAAAACTTGCAGGCTATATATGACCTTCCTAAGTCTTTCTGTAATTTCTCCAGAATTTACCCTTAAATTGCTGTCAACTCTGCAGGATCCATAATGCAGTTTGTTGCTGAATTTTGATGGTAAACAACTGCGCAGTTTGAGAAACTATAAGTCCCCCAAACTAAAAAAGTATCCTTTGAAAATTTTGCCCTTTAACAATATAGCTATATCTATTCTGTAACAATAACTGCTGGACAGATAGAGATGGAAATAGAGATACCCAATGTAGATTATTTTAAAGTGAGTGTTATGTTCCGTTATTGATGACAGTAGTTAGTGGTAATAATGACACCAATATTAATAGGTGATGTGCCATCAAATCAGTGCTGACTTAATAATTCTATGACTATCTGTCCCTAACCTGGTTCTTCACAATGGCACACCCATTGCCACTATAACTAAGTCTATCCATCTGGATGTTGGTTATCCTGCTTTCTTTCCTTCTACCTTTCTCAGCCTTAGAGACTTCTCTAGAGAGCTAGGACTTCATGTAATATGTTGGAAGGAGAATAATTTGAGCCTGGTCATTTATGCCTCAAGTGAGAATTCTGGGTTCATTTGTTCAATGATGCATGTGGTTGTTTTCCTGGCTGTCCATAGTATTCCCAGGGGTTTCTTCAACACCCAAAAAATCAATAGTCTTTCTATCCTGCTTTTTCAAAGTCCAACTTTTGCTTCTAAAATAAGTTGCATGAAATGCCACTGTTTGCATTATTTTGATCTCTGTAGATGTACACAATCCCAGCATCTGAATATCTTTTCCAAGGACTTTATTGCTACTCTACTAAATGCTAGTCTGCAGCATGTTCTTGACTGCTGTTCATTAATATTGCTCATAAAAGGCAAAAGCTATGTTCTACAACATCTTTGTCAATTCTAAGTTATTGCATCCAATTTGGTCTTTATATATAATTTTAGCCCCATTTTTCACCGGGTTCCTTGACTTTTATTACCAGAGCTTGGAGATCCTATATATTTCCAACTGTCAGAATAGAGTCATCAGCATTGTGCAAGTTATTTGTGTTTTGGTTCTCCAATTTTAATACCATATTCATTTTCTTCCAATCTAGCTCCCTTAATATATATCCAGCATACTAGTGATATCAATAATTATGATCATAGGGTTGTCTTCAGGAGTTTAACAGCATCAAAATGACAGATATGGTTGGATCAATCGAAGTCTCAGCCCTTTTTGACCTACCCTGTAAAAAAGGGGGGAGTTGATCATCTATTTGCACTCAACATTTTGTTTCTTTTGACCACTGCTTCAGATATCTGATAAAAAAGCTGTATATTCCCATATAAATACACAAATAATAATATTGGCTCAATTGTCCCAATTCTCAAATGACACCATGTACTTTCACTATTATTCTTATTTTTTGTTTTGCACTAATTATGATTAATTAACTTAGTTCTTAATTAAGAGACTGTCAAAATTGTACTTTTATAGATATTTTGGTATTTTGGTATTAGTTGATTTTGCATGCAAAACCTGAATATTAGTTTACTATATGCCATTTTATAGTTTGCATAGGATAGGCATATTGAGAAAGTACTATTCAATGAACCAATGTTATTTTTAGCTTTTCATTCCCGGACATATCCATATACAGTTCAAAAGTTATTATGAAATTAATCCTGACTCCTTCATTTAAGTGCATACTATATAAAAAAAGATAAGTATATTTTGTTTTATCTCAGTAGATAGTGGCATCTAGGTCTTGGTTTATCTCAAGCTATGCAGGGTCAGCCCTGATTAGTACTTGAATAGAGGCTGTCTGGAATTCCCGGGTTGTTGGCTAGACCAAAGGGAATTTGGGGGAAAAAATCATATTAGAGACAACAGTAGCAAATTGCTTCTATAACACTGACAGCAAAACTCAATGGATGTACTCACCAGGGATAGAGTTTGATTTAAGGACTTTTTTACCTTTACATTTTCAAAGAATGCACAGGCACAAAAATAGGAAAAGCAGCAGCTATCTATTGATATGAATCACATTGTCTTTCCTATGGATATAATCCCTCGGGACACAAGATCTTTGGGCAATATCAATTCTTTCAATTGCATCTTACAGATTAAAAACATTCTTCAGCTGACGTTAAATATCTTAGAACATTCAACTGCAAGAAGAGATTTTATTCATTTTTATTTACTTATTTAAACAATGTATAGAGTCACCCATCTCACAGCCATGATTCTATTTAACCAAGGCCCATTGTAGATGAAACTGACACACAGATTCAGCAGACTAAACAGTCAATACAATGTGCATCTTACATGCTCTGTGGCTTACCTGACTTTCCTGCTGCAAATGATCCACATCTGCAAGAGGCATCATGGAAGGTCTCCCATGAGCACACTGGAAAGGCAGTTGACAACATGACAAAGAAGCCATAAGATGGCAACTTTCATCTAAAGTCAAGCTGTCATTGAATTTAATAGCACCTAAAAAGAATGAAGAGTAGGAGAGTTTTGTGGTGAAATATTTATTTCATCTTTTTTCCAAAAACAATTTATTTTCTTTATTTTTCTAAAACAATTTATTTCCTCATTTTTCTGAAAAAAGGTATTTTTTTCAGAACAATTGATTTCCTCTTTTTTCCTTTTCCTTTTTTTTCCAAAACAAGTCACGTAGTTATGACCACTCATTTAATAACTTTTTAAAGTTACGATGGTGCTAAAAATTATTTATGACCAGTCATAATACAACTATTTACAAGTATTGCAGCGTAGTTGCATGATCAAAATTCAGGTGCTTGCAACTGGTATGTATTTATGATGGTTGCAGCATCCCAGATTCATGTAATTGCCGTTTGTGTTAATTACAGGGGGTTTCTGACAAGCAAAGTCAATGGAGGAAGCCTGGTGTATCACTTAAAGATCATGGCAAAAAATGTAGTAAAATCAGTCATGATTTTGTACTTAGTGATGGAAATTCCAGTCCTAATTATGGTTGTAAATTGAGAACTACCTGTGTATGGGGGGAGGTTGTAGATAATACAGCAAAAGAGTACTTGCAATATAGATTTCAGATTGCTAATGATGAATTAAAGGTCCAGTTTCATTTGGAATTTTAGCTTTGTTTTAATCAGAATGAATTTTCTCACAAGAAAATAGTGTTTTGTTTTGAGGTTTTGTGGTAAGGGGCCCTCAAAGGCTGAATACTAGAGGCAACTAGAGGATAAAGAAAAGAACAGAGCAGAATTCTATAATAAAAAAGTTATTGAACATTTTTTTGCCAATGTTTTTGAGCACATAGACAAACTTCTTGATAAAATGAACAAATGTTTTAATGAAGTTATAGAACAAGCTTTAACTGATAATTCTGAAATTAGTTTGAAGAGAGATTTAACTGTGATAAGCAGTGATATGGAGAAAGATATGGACATATAGTGCATACTGATGATTTATTTCCCAAAGGAGAGGTACCAGGAAATGTATTTGGATAATTTTTTCTTACTAGATATATAAAATAATTTTGTTAAGGTCTAGAAAGATGTCATGGAGTCAGACACATGAAAGGATAATTATTGAAAGACTTGTGACTAAAAGAACAGATGAAAAGAAAACTAGTTCTAGGCCTTTTTCTGAGGGGATTAAAAAGTGTGACCCTTAATTCAGGGAAGATATATAAAATGGATTTATTCTATTTGGCTAAAAGAGGGAAATAGTTATAAAGATGGCTTATTCTAAAAGGCTAAGAAGAGAAAATAGTTACATCCTGTTTCTCTTATTGGACTTTTGCTAGCAAGGAATGACTGACATAGTTTACATTTGCTTTTATTTATTTCATTTATAATTCCTCATAAAATTATTTGAAAAAAATGTTACATTGCAAAAAGAAATAAAAGATTAAAAAACCCAAATATTATATTTATGCAAATGCATCTGCTAGATCGTTAACCAATCCAGTTCTATGAACACAACCACTGGGAAACCAAGATATCTATGTAACCTGCTGAAACTGTAACATATACTCTAGGGCTGGCCTAGGTTTCCTCCCATACTGGGGACAGCCATTTGATCCAATGGATGTCTCTCTGGACTTCTCACTGTATTGCTACTCACCCCACAAGCCGCCCACCATCTTTTGTTTGGTTCTTCTGCAATTAGAAGTTTTCACTGGCAAAAACAGCTTTCTGATTAGCAAAATGGGACAAGGAAGAAAATTATGTTGGATTTATCCTTCTGAAATTTCTGGAATCCTATAGCCCAGGGGTTCTCAACCTTGGCAACTTTAAGACTTGTGGACTTCAACTCCCAGAATTCCTCAGCCAGCAAAGCTGGCTGAGGAATTCTGGGAGTTGAAGTCCACAAGTCTTAAAGTTGCCAAGGTTGAGAACCCCTGCTATAGCCTCAGATTACAAATTGGAATAAGCCATTTTGGTGGCATCATCTTTTGGCAGCTTCTCTGCTAAAGTAGAGAATATATATCCATATACAGGCAAAGAAGGAAGCCAAATGCTGGCTTGGGACCAGCATGTAGAGCTTCCTTCCCCTGCAAGAATTCCTCCATGAAGAATCAGCTATAATGTCTTTCATTTGCTAGAAAATCAAATGATCGAATTCCAGTTCAAATCATCAGGATTTTGTCAGGGCACTTGGGAAAATTATACCCTGGTGAGTCCTGGGTGGGAATCAGAGAAGGCTCCAAGTGCAGGTGATAAAAGCTGGTTCTGTTTGCCTCCTGATTCAGAATTATTCAGAAAATTGACATACATCTAAAGCATAGCCAGTGTGTAAATTATGGCCCAAATTCTTCAGCAAGAAAAATAATAGATTGCTGTTGTTCTCTTTTACTGCTGACTTTTCAGTGATAGCATGTTTGCTTCAGAACAAAAAGGCATAAAAATATTTTCCTTACCATGGCAGGCCTGGGAAGCTAACACTTTCAGAATGGTTAATGGTAATGTCGCTTGTGCCCCACCAGTTGTCTGTAGTAACTGAAAACAGAAGGATATTATTTGATTTTCTAAAAATGTTTAAGAACAAAAAGTACTAGTAATCATATAGGATGATCACTACAAATTACAACCTGTAGCCTTTGAAAACCTTAGCTATAGTGCCCAAATGTCAAAAGCTGCTGCTGAATTTTATTTTATTTTTTATTTTTTCATATGATAGAAGAAGAAAATAATGGGAAGTATTTAATTAAACTGTACTTAAATGTATTAATTTGAGTTTAATAATATTATATATAATTTTAATATACCTAAATTAAATTTATGGAGTTTGTCCTACATATATCAACTTATTTCCAGCATGTTATTCAGAAACCCTTGAAGTAAAAAGGTTGCACATGTTATTAAAATTGCTGATCTGGAGTCATGTTCAACACCGGCAAACATATGAATTTGATACAACTTTTTATTCCTGATGCTGATTTTGTAATTGTTTTCCTCTATAATTATTCACGTTATAAAATGAGAATCAGCTTGCATAAACCAATTCACTGATTACTTTTTTAATGGTATATATACTGTAAATGTAACTCTATTCTTAAATCTTCACAATAATCCATGTGGAACATGCCATGGTTTTTCAAGTCACTTATAGAAATTCCCTTTGATGGCAAATAAAGATGGATTCCCTAGTTAAATAATTAAATTAGGAAAATTCTTGCTCTCTGGATATGCTTTTTTATACTAAGCAACATAATGAATAAGTGAATTCAAGTGCCTATTTTGGCTACTGATGAAAACAGGAACCTACCAAAATTTTAAAATGTATAGAAAATCAAATGTAGTACATATTCTCATTTTAAATTTAATTAGTAAAATATTTCCATCTCATAGCATTCTTAAAGTACATACATATATTATCTTCCAAAGACCATACCTCAATTTGTTCTTGAATTAGCTCCTGAAAAAATATAAACAAAATATGATGTCAGAATTCAGTTTCTGTTTCATGTTCACAAAGAAATGTTATCATCTAAAAAAGATTATCAAATAATAATAACAGAAGTATCAGAATACAATGATATATACTTTAAATTTTAAAAAAATACAAGTTCTCAGTGAATTCTCTGTAAAAGCCACTATTATCAGAAACTGAGTATATTTTTTTTCCACAGTAATTGTTTGGAGACATACACATAAACCAACTGGAGGGGAAAATAGGTCATAGCTCACTTCTTTATTAGAAAGGCTACAATCAGGACCAACTTAGAAGTAGCAGGGTTATCCTTATTAACAATGAAGACTTCAAGACAATTCTTGGAAGTGCTTTTCTGACTTTTTTTTTTTTTGAGCCAAACAACTAAAAACCTAAAAAAAAACCCAAATGGTTGAACAGCTTTTTCAAAGACCAGATATGCTACAAGAGAACATCTGATTTCCACAGATCATCCTGGCCCAGAATTGCTAATTGTAACTTTAGTCTAAAACAAAAGCAATTAAAAGCATAAGTTTTCTCACTCTACATGTTATCTTACATTTTCAGGATTTTATCCAGACTTCTAGCATAAAAGTAAAATATTGAACAATTGGAAGATAAATTTTTATATAGCTAGAAATTCCAAAATTTGTGCTGAATAGTGAATTAGGGCAAGCATCATATAATACTACATTCACACCTCACCTGCACAATTCTTTTAGTCACAGTATGCCTTCCACGGCGCAATTCATTAGCCTCTCTCTCCACAAAACACAGTGGCACTTTGCCAACAAGAATCTGAGAGAGATTGTTTTTTGGAAATAGCAATTCAAGGCCTAAGTTCTCCAGACTTTTATGACAGCACCTGCACAGTTAAACAAAAATTCTAAAGATCAGCCTCTGATACTTTAGTTTTCTTCCAGTGTTGAAACTCCTGAACTACAAATTACTTCAAATTTCAAATTTATAAAGACCAATCACTTCTTGAGTCAAAGTTTGTGGAGAGGCTATTACAGACCATTTACTCATTGATCAGTTCAGCAATACAATTATGTTCATTTTATAGGATGTTATCCAATTCAGATTATTTTTAATTCAATTTAGAAAAATAAGTATTAATATAACAATTTCACAATAAAAGTCTAATCTGAAAGCACCCTAATTTTTTAAAGGAACAGTCAATATGTTGGATGCTTTGAGTAGTACTAACCACAAGAGTCTTCTCTGATTCTCTGTTACTTCAATCTCCAATGGGGGACACAAAGTGGAAGCCAATAATTTCTTCTTTCCCAGTGCTTCATGTTGCTTGTCATAGGAATCTAATAATAAACCAACAAAACCATTGTTCATGATGATTGGATGACAGTATATATTCACTAAGAAACTAAATATTATTCTACCCAGCAACTGAAAGGCAACCTATACTACACTATTAAAGAAGAAATATTATTTATCCTTGGCAGCAATCTTGTTAATGTTACAACGTAACTGCCAACAGTAACCAAGGCCATTCTAAGGGATATCAATTGTTATAAGATTTCCATCAAAAAATTATCATCCCTGAAATAATAAACTGTTATAACTATAAATGACTCCATTTAAAACCTATAATATACACTTCTTACATCCCAAAGAGTTTTTCACATTCTTGGCTAATTATTACTGCCAGGCCAGAGACAGAAAGTTTTCTCTTGGACTCTTCATTTTAAGAAATTCATAGCTGTTATTGATATGGAGGTCAATGAACTATGATAAATTACAAGACTTGCTGCTATCTTTCATAACTATGATCAGGTTCTTGTAAAGCTCAAAAATGTCATTCTCCATGGTAGACAAAATGGAAATTATTCATATTCTACTAAAATATTTACAGAATCTACAATAAAGTCTATATAGTAATTCCTAATCATCAGTGATAATTAAATTAATATATATTCATTATTAATGTACATTTGTGTCTCAATAAATTTGATTTTTCAGCTTCCAGCTTATTTTATCAGCTGTAAAAATATTTTCTTTGACCATCTGAAGCTATACCTGTGATAAGTTGCTCAAGACGGACACGCTCATGGGCTGCATGCTGATCCACAAGTACAAGAAGATTCCCATCTAGAGCCATAAAAATAGTGTCTTCATCATCTTAACACATAACACCAGTTCTAAATTTAACCTCACTTTATCCTCAGCTTGTGAGGTAGGTCAGAATGTAGAACAGCAATTGGATCAAGCTTATATGCGAAGCTTTTCAAACAAATGGAAATTTGAACTGGAAATTTTTCAGTTCAGCCTTCCTTTGAGGGAACAGAATAATTGCAAGAAAATGTTTTGGAGCTCACCTAATTATATTATTTCAAGTAAGATTGAAACTCTTGAATTGATATCACCAATGAAGTCAAATTATAAACATTGTTCTGCATTTCATCATAAGCCAATGTGTGTAGTTATTTTCCAGTTAATATTGTACTGAATAGATACATATACATATAGGATGTAACAATTCAATATTACAATCTGTGTAAAAGAGTTGCTGGAAGTTAGGCAGCATATACATTTAATAAAGCATTATTATTAGATGTTCCAGTTTTGTTTTTTTAAAACTCTACTCAATGAGTAAATTGGGATGATTTAAAATGGTTAGGAAACAACATGCAAGATTTTGTTCAATTGGTTTTTTCTCGCAGTTAATTACCTCATGTATAAGTAAATTTTAAAACACGTTTTAAATTTTACAGAAAGTTCAAGTGTTTTTTTTATAAGAAGAAATTGCATTTTTACCTGCACTTTTATTCTCTTCTTCTCTAGTATTCATTAAACACGCAATAAATTTATTGTCCACTTGATTAAGAACCTATACATTATTCAAAAATAATAAGTTTTTAAAAACAGAATAATTCTATAGCATAAATGAAAAGATGTGATTGACATTGTTAACATGCATCTGTAAATTTCTATTTGCTAACAGTACCACTGCTTTACCATAGATTACTACAACCCAGAATAAATGTACCATATATTGTACAAAAGTTCTCTTTCAAGTGATAATTGCAATGCTACTATTTACATAGATACTAACACATTTACCTGCAGAGAATCAATCATCTTTTTAGTGAATCGATAAGGATAGAGAATGTTATGTATTTTCACAGCAAGGGTATCTGCCTGCCCACTGCTAACATCCAGAGCAACCTGTAAGATAAATAATCACTTCTTAGGATAGTTACTAGATAAACAAATGGTAGATTATAAAATAATATCCCCACTTTAGTATCAACGTGTTTGATATAGATATAAAAAGCAAATAAAACTATAGTGCACTATATAGTAATTAGGTATCACTCTACAAACAGAATGCAGAGATTCTTAACTGCTTTTGAGGGTCAGAATTAATTATCCTTAATAATAGTCCAATTATCCTGGCTCAGGGTAATGGTGATGATCACAATTTATTCCCAGTTCTAGAGTCTGATTTGGGAAACAAGGTCCACTCTTGCTAGGAATATTCTCCTTGTAACAATTTAAAAAATAACTTCCCTCTTAGAAGTAAATGTTTCCTTTTTAAAATACAAAACTGGTTGTGACTCAGCCGCTACAATTTTACCAAGCCTCTGTTTTCTCCCTTCTGGATGCTCAACAAATTAAATCCCTCTAAGTCATAGATGCACAATCTATCCATTCTGTGGCTCTTCAGATTATCTTCTGGAGAACTCAGAATCACAAGAATTACAAGTCACGAAGAGGTTGGTTTTGGGAAATCTAATCAGTGAAATGAATGTATCAGGTATTGCAGCATTTTAGACACACATTATTCTTTAAAGGGATACGCCAAAAACAATGGGTCAATTTTTCCGGGGTGGGGGCAGGGAATTAGAGGACAAATGAGTACCTTAGAGCCATTATTTAATCCTTTCTTCAATGAAGATGAATAATGAAGAATAATATTATTCTTCAATAAAGAATAATAATGTATAATTATATGGCCCTTGGCTGCAAGAATCCCTGCTAAAGCATCGCCACTTTAGACAAACTATACAGACAGGCTCAAGGCCAAGGTAAAGAGGCTACCTTTACAGCATACATAGTGTCAGAAGGCAGGAAGAGAGGCAGGCAATAAGGAAAGAAGATGCTACTACGTCCAAATGATATCAAGAAATAACAGCTGTGGAACAAATTTTGTCTGCCAAGACAGAGATAGTATCAAAAGTGGATTTACAAATGAAAGACAAGATATCAACCTGGAAAATGATTATTTACTGAATATACAAAAGAAACAGACTGATGTTGTAAAAATCAAAAGGGAAATATAAATGGCAAACCAAGAGAATAATCTGTATAATTTTTTCTTATTGGTTTTACAAAAGAGGCTTGTTAAAGCATTGAAGACATGTGTGTGATGGGATAAAAAAATCAAACCCTTCAACAATTTTTGAATGAACTAAAAAGTAAGACTGTTAGAAGTAAAAGGAAGAAATATAAAGTTAGTTTATTTGCTCTGGGTTAAAAAAAGATACATATTACAAAATTAGCATGTGATCTTACACTTATGATATGTGGCTACTAACGTCTGGCTCCATTCTTCAAAAATCTTCTTTTATATTTTCAATGTTACAGTGTTTGCTTCATTTTGTTAATTCTCAGTAAAAAAAACCCAAGCTTATATTTTTCTCCACTTAGGAGCTTTAATTTCCTTTACCGTCCAATTTCTAAAATCAACCTTTACTTATCTTTGTTTGTTCTTAAAACAACCAAAACAAGTTTGTTTCTTACTAGAAGCTGATTATTCTTCATAATCAACTCCCAAAGCATATAGTAAAAATCAATATTCCAAATTTATCTGGTCCCTTAATCTATTTACAACTTTCTTAGCTCAAAACCTTATTTAGCTTTTTGCTGTTTATTTCAAATTCTTTCCATTCTTAGGCTTATAATTACAGTATTTTTTTCTTGTGTTCAGAGTTACAGACAAATCCAACAAAACTTTTCAAACTAATCATTCCAAAGATCAGTAATAACTTTAAGATGGGGCTTTTTTTTTGTCATAGAACACCCAGAACGGAGTTCCGGCACCTTTTTTGGATGGAACCTTGTAGGGTAGACAAGGCGGGTTGTATGACATGTGTGTGAGTTCAGGCACCTTTTTTTTTTTTTTTTTTTTTTACAAAAAAAGGACTGAAGATAGTTAATAGTGTTATAGTTCCAAAAGTGTTTAGAAAGTAAGATTTGCAAAGTTAGTTTCATTTAAAAGGGTCTTCCATAGCTGAGAACAAGATGGCTGATCCTACTGTCTCTCTGTGCTCACATAAAACCACTGTCCTATGGTTTCCTCACAAACAGCAGCCATCTGAGCCATGTGGGCAATCTCCCATTTTCTCTTTATCCAGGGAGATTCCATGGAACAGGTCTTCAGTTCGTCATATCTTCCCCAGAAATCACAATTTACTTGCCAATAATATGAAAATGCTTTGCCACTGCATTCTTCCAGAATGTTTCTTCTCCCTTGAATTCCCAGTTGAGCCTACAGCCCTAGAAACTCCTGTTAATCTCTCTTTCAAGTGCAGACTTCTGTTTTGTTTTGTTTTATTTTGTAACTCAGTCAAATTCAAATAGGAAGTAATGTATTTACAATATGTGTGTAGCCTTACAGAATTAGCAGACAGCCTTAAAGTTTCCATATACAGCTAGGGACCATACCCAACCCATCTTTTTAATTGCCAAAATGGATTGAAAAAATTTGGAGAGAGCTCCACAGTTATTTTAGGATACAAATGGGTCTTATAATAATCTAGTAATCAAGTAAATTGGGAAAACACTTTTTGGAAAATTAGAAATAAAATTAATTATAAACTTTAAAATAGTAACTTTTAACAACATAATGTATCATACATACAAACAGTAAAAATAAGATTCTGGGGTTTTATTTGTGACCATGTTACATACATTTTCTTCTACTTTTGAATTGCTTTGAACAATGAATACATGGTTTAAAACCTACACCAGTAAATAATAAAATGGGTAAGTTTAATCCAGTGTTTCTCAACCTTGATAATTTTAAGGCATGTGGACTTCAACTCCCAGAATTCCACAGCCAGCAATGCTGGCTGTGGAATTCTGGAAGTTGAAGTCCACATGCCTTAAAATTGTCAAGGTTGAGAAACACTGGTTTAATCAGTTCTAAAATTATAATATAAAATACAAATAATTCTGAACAAATAATAGCCTTATCTGCTGTCAATCCTGCCTTTTGGAATATCTTGTGCCCTCCCCCCCACTCCCAACTGAGGTTGGCTTTAATCCTCTTGACCTTAAAGAGCTTAAAGATCTGACTCTGCCAGTTGGCCTGAGTCTCCAGTGGGGACGGCTTCACATTGGGGGTGGTTGATAGATTAATAACAGATCTCCCCTCCCCTCCATCCGACTCCGTTCCTATCTTTAAGTTAGGATTGAGTAATTATATTTTTATAGTATTTTATTTATATTGTCTACAGATTTTGTAGTTTTATCCTTTTAATATTGAAAGGCACCCAGAGTTCCTTGTGGTAAAATGGGTCACCGAAAAATAAAATAAATAACTAACTAAGTGCTACATAATACTACCTACCTCTGGATATTGAGCAAACACAGGATTGTCCCACTCTGAAAGCAGGCCCTGAAGAGATTCTTCTTGTGTATCTAAGGGAAAAGATAACATGCAATCTTCAAATTATAAGAATTATATCATGTTTGACATGTATATATTACAATAAATTATTCCAAATGAAAAACTAAGTATGTGTAAGAAAAAAGTATGCCTGCTATCAAGGAACAAATACAATATGATATATCATATATAATGTAAGGTTTTAATCTGTTTGTGTATGTGTACACACATACTTATATACATACATACATACATACATACATACATAAAAACACAGATTAAAACCTTACATTTTGTACTAAACACATTCTGATTCTTTTTCCAATCTAGTGTACAATTTAGTACACAATACAAGTACTCTGTTATAAAATAATGTTTGAAGTCATTGCCTCCTTTATTTCAACTGGAAACATACTAATAACGTAGCAGAACAATTGTTCAATATTTTTGGCTAATAAAGATCTGAAAAATTAAACCTGTTTCCAGAACAAAACAATTAAAACAGACTGAGTCATTCATTTTCAAATCACTGACACTGTTTACATAGAACTGAACACTTCACATTATCCACAGTAATACAGCAGATGACTTCGAGTTTAGAAAAGCTGTTTACAGTTCTACACATCATGTGATTCATACAGGTTGATTGTTAATAGATCGCAAATTACACCAAGTTTCTGTTGGAACAGTTGCAGAATTATTTGGTTTTTTTATTCTTTAACATAGTATTTTATGCCCTGGTAAACTTGGCCTACCTCTGTAATCCTGACTTTCCAAGCTCCTCTCTTTCTGTGCTTTTGGAAGGAAGGGCACAATAAGCTCACTTCGAAAGGGATGGCTCCTGCACTGAAACCCTAAATATTTAACAGGTTACTTCGATATGTACTCTTATAATTACCTCTGTATATGATCCTGCATCTTATTACAATCCCCAGTCATCTCATTTTATAAGTTCACAGGGAAGTGAACAACTGTTTCGCTTAGCAAGAGAAATTTTGGACTCCATTGTGGTAAGTCGGGGACATACATATACATGTATGTTAAGTGACATAGAGCTGAGCAAGATTAAAGAGGCAAGTACTATATAGATTTCAGGAATATATTTAACTAGTTGGGCTCAATACATAATCTTGGAAACAACAAGAGGTATTCTTTACTTTTATTTATAGTATAATGTAGTGTAGTGTAGTGTAGTGTAGTGTGTAGTGTAGTGTAGTGTAGTGTAGGATAGGATAGAAATGAAACTTTATTGTCACTTTAAATGTACACTAATCAGCATACATTAAAATGAAATTTTGTTGCATTCGGCTCTCAAAAAATACCATTATGCATATACCCACATATACAAACATATTTGATAAAGAGAAACATCACAATCTATTGATTATATGCATATACATGGCAAAAAAAAGAATCCTGCCAATTTACAAGACAGCATAAGGAACAATGCTGTTACAGAATCTAATAATTCTGCTATAAATACTTCAAAACCTCCTCCCAGAGAGGAGCAACAGAAACAGACAGTGAAGTGGGGTCTCTAACAATGCTTCGAGCACCAAGCATCAAGCACTTATAAGCAGTATCCTGAATAACAGAAGCGAGATTCCTATAATCTTCTCAGCTGTCTTTACCACTCTCTGTATGGGCTTTCTATCTGAGGCACTGCTACCACCAAACCAATAGTGATGCAGTTTGTTAAAATGCTCTCAGTCGTGCCTCTATAAAATGTGGCCAGGACTGGAGAAAGATGTGCTCTCCTCATCCAACAAAAGAAATGCAAATGCTGGTTTGTACACTTCACTAAAGATAACGTATGAAGAGACCAAGTCAGATTGTTAGTTATCAGCACCCCTAGGTACTTAATACAGTGTGTTAAGTATGATGGAGACATACTTAACATACTTGATTGATGATTAATTGATTTGCATATCTCTCCTGCTGCCAGCTCCCAGTAACTTACACAATATAAGGAAATTATTAAAACATTCACAGCACATTTAAAATTACTACTTCAGTAACTAAATCTGAAAACTCTTTAATATTATAATCAACAAGACTAGCATAAATTAAAATATAAAAATATAAATGGCATCACAGTATATACGACTTCTTCAATGCTTCTTCTCATATTTATTTTTATCTAGGCTAATCTGTCATTTATGAGTTAAACTATCAATTGACTTATCTGCTGTCTCTTAATTGCTTATGACTGCTCTCTCCTCTGTTTCTTTCCCAGTCTCTCCATAATCTCTCACAGTATATTGGGGAAGCTAATGCTCTGAATTATTAAGATTTAACTCCTGATACAGCCATTCTTTCCATAATGCTATATTGGCAATGAAACAGATATACACCATGTACTTACCATTCTCTATGACATTTACAGCCATTGTGCTTAGATCCTGAGTACAAGCAACCGAAGTTTCTTCAGGAGGAGCTCTATAGGAACTCAGCCCACTCATTTTGTTGATGAATACCATTCTGCCCAATGATGTATCAAACTGATAAAACCATTTAGAGGGACTGAATTTTGGTTTCTCATTCACACTTGAATCATCTGTGTTCTTCTCCATATTTCTAGGCATGTTTACACTTTGAAGCTCATTACATCTCACAGCTTGCTTTGTAAATTCACCCATAACGCTTGCATTTTTATGAGAACTGTCTGTGTCCACTTTGTTGCACTGAACTGAATGTCTATTTTGGGCAATCGTGTATTCTCCATCAGTGTCAATGAAACAATGATCAATAGTTCCTTCCGTATCTGCTCTCACACTTAATATTCCCATGGATTTATCTTGTTTGTCAGAAGCAAAACAATTACTTTCTGTCTCTTCCTTTCTTGTGGAAGGACAATGTTGAGATTTTTTATAAGTATTTTGCAAATGAGTACTAGATGTGAGACGCTGTATATTTTTATCTTTGGGGCCTGAACATACTTCAGTTTGAGCTAAAGATATCTCTATGGGTTGTGTACTCGTAACATCTTTATCACATTCTTTCATTCTTGACACTTTAGAGGCGAGTGTCCTTGTGCAATTAGATCCAGATAGAGATTTCCTTACTTTTTGAGAATATTCTGTAATGGTACTTGTACTAAAAGCTTTTCTGATTGACATATTTTCTTCTGGGAAATGTTGAGACTTTTCTAAGGGAAGGAGGCAATTACAGTCATTATTATTAGACTCAATATATTCTTTTGTTGGAGTTCCACAAATACTCTGTAGATCTGTTGTATCACCAGTTATAGATTTGGAACAGACTGGTGCTTCATTGCTATTTCTTATTTCTGTACCTCCTACTGATGCATTTCTTTTTAAATTCCCATAATATTTTCTGAACCTATCTAATGATCCCAGTTTTGGATGGCAATTTAATTTTGTTGAATCACAATATTGAAGCCTAACAGAAACATCATTTATTTGCCTACTGCTGTTTATACCACCTCCTATATGATTAACTGAATCTGCAGCCACCGCAGGCATATATCCTTTCACATGTGATATTACCGAATGCACAGTACTATCTGCAGGAAGTGAAGCTGATGTACTCTTTTTTTCTAGCCATTCTTTTGTGTTTCTTGTATGTATTATATTGGTTTTTGTCATATATTCTAAAGAACTTGGAATCTGCTCTGAAAATTCTAGCTGTTTTTCAGACATATCCTTGGCACTTACTGGACCCAGTTTAGTATGTCTGTTTAATAAATTACTAGAGTCCATTGTTTTATATGGTGGTTGATATTGAGCTTTCAAAGGATCATGTTCTACAGTCAGTCTCCTAGCAGTATTTAATTCTCTGCCCTTTTTTTCTGACTTGCATTTTCCCATCGAGATATTTCCAAAAATATATTTACTTTTAAATTCATCAATATGTTCTACAATTTCAGTACATTCTACAGCAGCTGAATCAGGGCTTCTTTCCTGGACTCCTGCATCTTGTTGACTATTTGCATCTTTCCCATGGTTCTCAATACAAAGCAAAGTACCAGAATGCTGGTCTGTTTCTGAAACAATTGATTGGTCTTGGATGTCAAGTTTTTCTGGGTATTTGGAACTCATAACATCAATCTGTAGTTTTGACTCTTCAGGGAGTTTATTGAATTTTAGAAAATCAGAAATGTCATTTTTATTAGGTAGAAGATACTTATCTTTACTTTGCAATTCATGAACAGATTCAAAACCAGTTACATCTGAATAAACACCTACTTCTTTCACATTATTAATAGGTTGTATATTATCTCCTGTCTTTTTTGTCAGAGTGATTTTTCTTCTAACAGATTTTGATTGCAGATTAAATGTTTCATAAGAATCCACAATATTATCACAAGCTGTCTTAAAGCTCTCCTGCATACCCTTCTCTTTGGGGAGAGAAGACTTTAAAGCTGTTGTGTTACCCAAACAAAAATCATTATTTTCATTAAATTCTGTAGCATCTTCACCACACAACTCAATAAATAGATGTTCTTGCTTTAAAAATGCTTTTACTCCTTCTTCAAAGCAGGTTAGGAGAGCATCCCATCTGCGAAATTCTATTAAAGTTTTTGTGGGTTCCAAACATATATCGTATTCATCAAGCTGACACTTCACATTGATAATAAACACACCATAAAGTTCTGAGCCAGAACGATGGCGGACAGGACTTGAGAGCAAAGACCCAGTTTTTGTTTTACATATAACGCTCTGTTTCCTCAATAGAAAGTCAATAAGCTTATGCAATTTTGTTTTTAATATCAATCTATTATTTACATACAAAAACTGAATATTTTTATTGTAATGTCCTTCTGAACTGATAAAGCCTGTTAGTTCAAATCCTCCAGATATGTAGTTTATTTCTCGTAATTTCTGGGATTTCCCTAGACCATAAATCTGAGAAAAACGTGTGCACATATCTTTTGTTTTGGGTAGTTGAAGCACCATTGAACAGGAAGCTTCATTTCGTAAAGAAAAAGAGACAGATGGATGAACAAGTGAAAGAGCTTGTACTTTATGCCTCAATCTCTCAAATTCCAGTGTGAAATCCATGCACTTTCTCCTCACGGGTAACTGATGGTACAAATTGTATACAGTAACTGTTGTTCCAAGACTTGGCCTATTCACTTCTGCTTCTGAGACTTCCAAACCTTTTCCATTGTGAAACAGTTTCAAGAAGGTTTTTGCTATCTTACTTGTCTTGGATGATATTTCCAATATGCTGGCCATACTTGCAATGCTTGCCAAAGCCTCTCCACGGAAGCCATAAAACTTCAGATTTTCTAAGTCTTCCAGTGAATAACATTTACTAGTAAAGTATCTATTGCCTACTTTGTTAAGGTCTTCTCTTCCCATCCCACAGCCATTGTCCACCACCTGTACTTTAAAGGTTTCCAAATCCACTCTAATAGCAATACATGTAGCTTTTGCATCTATGCTATTAAGGATAAGCTCCTCAACACAATGTCCAACTGAGTTAATTGCTACTCCAGAGCGCAAACTGGTTTGTACTTCTCCAGGCAAGCATTTGATCATTGTAAGAGTTATGCATTGCCACCTGCTTTTTCTGTAAATGTCCTGTTAAAAAAACAGAGAATTCAATGATCTTTTAATTTTTTTTAGCCAGCTGTTTAACAAATCCCTTAATATTTTCCAGAGTGTTTCCCATTCTCATTTTGTATTTTAATAAACAAAATCCAGTTCAATTTAGAAACATTTTTCTTTTGCTTAAGTTCAATCTAGATATGTTTAGCTCGATTGCCTTTCCTTCAAATTGCATGCAGGAACTATTTGCAGGGATGTTAACATAGCTCTCCCTGTGCTCTCCCCCTAAAAATGGCTCCCTTTTTAAAGTCAAATCCTAATTCTCAGTTCCTATTAATAACCAATTAGCTGAATAGTGGAGAAACTGGACAATTTATTTCTAAACTATAACATGGAAAATATTAGGAAAAAAATACTACAGTGAGCTAAGTTGCCGTTCTTTGATTAATGCAATTGTAATTTTTTCTGTGATAACATGCTACATTTACCAGTCAGTTGGTGCAATAGTTAACACTCTTACATTCATTTATTTGTGTTGACATTCAGCCTGTCATGCACTGAGCTAAGTGCTCTCACAAGACAGCTGTGAAGATAAAAATGTGACAAATCCCTTGCACATACACAAATAGGTTGGAAGCTTGGACGAGTGGAAAATAAGATGTAAAACAGGTAAGAGGACTTTATAATGTACATTTCGATAATGCTGCACTACTGAGACTATTTTAGCAATGGACAATAATGAAATCGGAAAAAGTCCCACCTTTCTGCCAGATTTAAGGAGGAACGTTTGGCTTCAAGATGACTGATGACATGCAAGAAAAGGGGTGGAGGGTAGCGCCGTCCCCATCAAGCAGTTTCTGGAGATCTGTCGTTAGTTCCGTTTTCTTCCCATCGCCTCTCCTCTGAAGTAACTATAGGCTCTGCCTCCTCTCATTCCAAGCATAGCCAGAGCAGCCTCGTTTCTCTTCAGTGTGTTTTTTTCCAGGCTGACAAAATCACCTCAGTGGAACCCGTCCCAACTTTCATCTTCCGCTTCTTCAGTTGGCCTTATTGTCAATCACCTGAAAGCAGGTCGGTGCTGAGGAAGAAATTGGGCCTTCTCAAATGCCTCAGTTCCCAGCGTACATCTAAATATTGCAATGCATTCTGGGAATTGTAGTATTTTTGTATTCTCTTTTTTTACGGCTCGAAGTTTTCTGTTAGCTTCTCCAAATCACTGTATAAGTAAATCCAAACTGCTACTGATCCTCGCGGGATCTCCTATGATCAGCTAATCCTGAACAATCTTTCCGGAATTAAACAGCTACAGAATAAAAAATGTTGAGCAAGGGGACAAGTAGCACAGGAAAAATTAGTGTTTAAATGTAGGTGGATACATATTTTCAGCTTAAGTGTAAGTTTCAACTATAATAACCATGCCCATTGGAAATATCGAATTAGACGATCTTTGAAGCACTGGATATTTTTATGAATATTTACCGTTTTGATTCATAGCACTCCTTCAAAGTGCCAAAAAGGACCTAATTATTTTTAAAATGGTGGTCAATTTTTTAAACACATTTTTCTTTTATCAACAAAGATAAAATACAGAAAAACTAAAACTGGTAGGAATACAGTATTTGAGGTTGCCAAGGAATTAAAAGGAATATTGTTGCTGAAACATGCTATAAGCAGCAGCTGGACAAGTTCTGAGAAGTAAGGCTGTGCAGCTCTGACTTAATTAACTCTTATCATATTCCAAGGAAAAGGAATATGTGCTATGAGAGACAATATTTGAATATTAAGTGGAATGCTATAAATTGTTAATAAAACTGAGGATTATGCTAAATTTAGGTATTTGTTTCATGCTTAGATTCAGTATCCAGCAGTGCAGGATTAAATATTGTTGTTTGTGTATAGTGAAGTATCAGCTAAAAAGAACCAGTCTTTAATTGGTCCATAGGAGTTGTATGAACACCATAGCCCTGAGCATCCCCTCCCAATATGACTAGCATGTTCCCATCTGTTTATCTTTATAGTTACAGCATGGTTTGTAACTAGATTGTACCGAAATACAGAATAGTAAATATTTTTATACTTTGCATAGCATTGTGTAAATCTTGATCAAAAAAAGTCATTTATACTCACTTTGTCAACACTGCTAACATTGGATGTTCCTGCTCTGACAACTGATGAAAATGCAGCCATTTTCTCTTTTCCTTTAACATTTTCTTTACTTTTAGAATTCAGGTATAGTGGGGGGGGGTTGGGATGTAAGCTCACTAAGCCATAATAATAACGAGCTGATAACGTTTTGGCAGGCTGAGGAACTGAGGAGAAAGCCTGTGCTTGAAGCTAATTGGGAACTGTGTTTTATGACAGTTTATTGGGGGTGGGAATTATACTTTGTTACTTTATATCAGGGGGAAGGGAATTTAGTTTTTGGGTTCAACTATGTATTGCCGATATTTTGTTTCCCGAATAAATGTTCTTTAAGGAAGAATTTTGCCTCGAAGTTCTTTTGATGGGTTTCATCTATCGGAACCATGACATTAACCCCAAACCCAAACATTAACCCCCAAACCACCTTAATCGCCTTGGGGTCCTGAGCTCCAGTCACTGTCCCTAAGTCGAGGGATAGGCTGACAAAGACTCAGAGAAGATCTCAACATAGAGAAGGAAGGGGTGCCTGGATCCAGCACCCCAGCCATGGCTGTAGCCAGCGGAGTGAGAGCAAGCCAGCGCACCGGTGGAGAGGGAATCTTCTCAGACCTTACAGCTGGGGGCGAGACCCAAAATGCAGGAGCTGATCTGATCATTGGAGTGGACCCTGCCCAGTGCAGACTCCAAGCCCCTTGAGACAACCCTGCCTAAAGCAAGTTTTTCAAAAGCAACCAAAGTTGACTTGCAAGAGGGAACCTCTCGAGAATCGCGTTCCCCGGGCCGCTGGAGAATCAGGAAATCGACTACTGAGGTTTCTGTAGACTGGAAGTACCTGTCCACAGCCCGTAGCCAATCAGTAGAGAAGTTGGTGGAGAGGTTCTAGGGGCAAGAGATGAAGAGTGGGGAGCAACCCTCTCACTCTTCCCATCAAATGATCACGATGATCGGCGGAGCAGACATCGGTCCATGCTGAAAAGAAGCCCCAGCCCCGCCTATGGAGCACAAGTGGCTTCCCTGTCTTCAAAGCCACCAACATTAACCTCCAGTACTGCAAGGAGGGACAGTCCTAGCCGCCACTCTGAACACGGAGGCCCAAGACGTCGCTCCTCTAGAAGCCCAGATTGCCACAGCTACCATGAAAGCCCTGACCGTCGCTACCATCGGTCACACAGCCCAGAGCTTCACCGTCGACACTACCCAAGCCTGAAACCTACGCAGGGGGAAGATTCAGATGTGAGCGTTCAACATGATATAATGCAACAGCTGTGTGAGCTGTTGGCTGGACAGCAACAGATGAGAGCCCCACAGCCATTGGGGCCCCTGCCACAATTGGGGATGCCACAGCCGCTGCCCCCAGGAGGTTAGCAGCCGTTGAATGTGCAGCAGCAGTGGGGGTGGCAACAGCCCCTGAATGGGCAGCAACTGCTGGGCCTGCAGCAACGGGGGATGCCACAGCCACCATTGGGAGATCAGCATCCACTGGGGGTGCAACAGCCAGAGCAGGGAGGCCAGCAACCTCTGAGAATACAGACACACCGGGGGGACAGCAACCTATGATGGCGCCACCCCTTAGAACAATGCTTGATGGTGACCCAGAGAAGCTGATCTTCTTCAGTCAAGTACATTCCCACATGAATAGCAATGCCAATTTCTACCCGAATCCAGCTGCTATGGTCAATGTGGTTGCCGCCAATTTGGAACGGGAAGTGTCTGAGTGGCTAAACAATTTGTACAAAGAGCAAGTGCCTGAGTTAGGGACCCTCCATCTCTTCCACCTTGGATTAAGAACCAGGTTCGAGGACCCATCCATAGCCCTCAAAGCGGAGAAACAAATACATAAAACAAGATGGCAGACCTGCTTTGGAATATGTACGAGAATTTCGTAAGGTAGCAGGTCGAATAGAAAGGTGGCCTGAACAGTCCCTAGTTCACCACTTCAAGGAGAGGCTAAACAATCACCTTTCCCAGGCCTGTGTCTATCAAGCTGTCCCTAACCTATTGCAGGAGTGGTACCAGGCAGCAGTAAGATTGGATGTCAAGCTGGCTCGTTATAAGAAACCACCACCACAGGAAGCCGGGCAGAAGCCAGAACAGACCAGACGACACCCCCCCCCGTAAGCCTCCAGCCATTGCAGCTGCAGAGCCCCCCAGACCACCTGCCAGTCCACCGATCAATTGCTTCAGATGTGGGCAATAAGGACACCGAGCGGCGAGCTGTCCGATCCTATATCCCCAACAGCAGAGCAGATCGGGACCACCAGCGAGGAAGAAACCAGTTCAGAGCCACCGAGAGAGAAGTCAAAGTGGATCACGCAAGAACCCGTCGCCCAGGTTACATCGCCCATGCCGGAGAGCACTGAGGCCCAAGCTGGACCTGTCACCACTCTGCCCTCCTATGACAGCGACAATGAGTGGGAGAACGACCGGATGGTGAGTCGACCCATTCCACCTTTTTCTCTCGCAGCCAAACTCATAGTTCCCAAGACAGGTGCACAAATAGATTTGAAAGTGCTAGTGGATTCGGGGTGCTCCCAGTGCGTTATTAGCATGCCACTTTCCCTTAAACTGGGTATACGAGCAAACCCGTGAGATTTGAGCAAGCCGATGGTTCCTTAATGGAAGGAACTTTGGTCACACAATTGACAGAGCCAGTACGCATAGAAATAGGTGAACATTGGGACTTCATTTGCTTCATGGGTACGCATAGAAATAGGTGAACATTGGGACTTCATTTGCTTCATGGTGGCTCCGAAGATGACTAAGGCACTGATTCTAGGGCTAGCCTGGTTGTACAAATGGAAACCGTTTATCTGGTGGGAAAAGCGGATAAGGACTATGAGATTATCTATAGGGAATTTTGCCTCAAAGTTCTTTTGATGGGTTTCATCTATCGCAGCGGTTCTCAACGTTTGTGTGACGGCAACCCCATCACACAAACGGTATGCGCATGTGTGGTGCGCCACCGCCCCATGTGCGACGCGCATGCACGGCGCACATGCGGGGGCCCGCCCAATGCGCGGCGCGCATGCGCGGCACCCCCAGAGGCGCGACGCCGCCCCCATGCACGGCGCGCATGCGCGGCGCCGCCCCTGGAGGGGAGAAAATGGCGGATTGCCGCCTTTGGCGACCCCCGGAAAATGGTCGATCGACCCCAACTGGGGTCGCGACCCATAGGTTGAGAACCGCTGATCTATTGGAACGATAACACACTTATTTAAAATAGAACTACTTTTTTTAGTGTATATTTACCCTCCATATCAAATTATTTTACAATTTATGAAACTTCAAAAACTCTAAAAAATTAATATGTTTGCAATGAAATTCTGAAATTTACATTCTATATACTTGCAATTTTTTAATATGTGCATCTCATTTTTATACATAGCTCTGGATATGATCCAGCAAACATGCCTTTATTAACAGTCAAAATATTATGACATCACTCAATTCAGGAAATGTTTATCTTAAAACTTTTAACAGAAGCTTCATATAATAAATAATTACAACAGAAAGAATGCATTTAACTAATTACAAGAAAATGAAAACTAAATGACTTTCTTCTAGACAAGTCCATGGCTGACTTTATAAACCCAGTGCTTTCTATTCTAAGCCTCTTATTTGATTATACAAAAGTCACTATGCTCTAAATGAGCAATTTTCTTTTCATTGTGGAATTCAGCTCTGTCGATGTGAGATTTGGGACTTCCTGTTTTTTGAAGCCATTCCTGAAGTTGTCGGACTTTGACAAGAGGGCCTTGGATTTGTCCCTGCACGGTGCCATAGTTGGTATTTTGGACCCAGCCAACCAGACCCAACTTTTTTCCTTGTGCCTAAAAATAACAACATACATGACATTTTAAAAAAAAATCACACATATACATATGATTAATCTGAATTATAGTTAAAGCTTTTAGAATTCCTCTGTAGAGAATTATTATACCCCCACTAAATTACTGTATAATCCAAACTTCTGCTAGGCCATCCAAAGATAACCAAGACTAATTGGAAATATATTATCTGTTGTTAAAAAGAGCTAATGTAAAAGACAATGGCATCTTACAATAATAAAGGCAAAAACAGCTTACATGTGTCTATTCTACTGACTTCAATAATATGACTTAATTCAGGTTAGGACTACAGGTAGTCCTTGACTTATAACCATGCATTTAGCAATGTTGCAACTTAGAATGGCATTGGAAAATATGATTTATGACTAGTCTTCACACTGATGACCACTGCAGGATCCCAATGGTCATGTAAACAAAATTTGTGGTACTTGGCAACTGGCATGTATTTGATTGTTGCAGCATCTTGGGGTCATGTGATCACCATTTATGATTTTCCTTGCCAGCTTCTGACAACCAAAGTCAATAGGGGAAGCCAGAAACAGTTAACAAGTATATGATTCATTTTACTACTGCAATGATTCACTTATTAACATTGGTAAAAAGATTATAACATTGGGGTACGACTCATTTAACAACCACTTTACATAATAACAGACATTCTGGTCCCAATTGTGGTCATAAGTCAAGGAGTACTTGTATTCAGTAGCCTAAGCAAAGCCTCCAAAGCAGTGGTTCTCAACCTTTCTAATGCCGCGACCCCATAATACAGTTCCCCATGTTGTGGTGACCCCCAACCACTTATACATCACCGGATGCCAGGGGCGTGGCCAAAGAAAAGGGGGAAAAAATGGCGGACAGCCTTGTTTGGCGATCCCCGTGAAATGGTCGTTCGACCCCAAATGGGGTCCCGATCCACAGATTGAGAACCACTGCTCCAAAGTCTTCACAATTATATATATTTTATTATATTTATATGGCACCCATTTCACTGTCAAGCAACTCTGGGCGGCTTACAACATAAAAACACAATATACAATGGTAAGAACATTAAAAGCATTCAGCATTAAAAGTTAAAACATTAAAAATTAACAAAGAACTAGATGAAAATGGACCAATACACAAACCAGATGGAGGTGGAACCTTCTAATTTACTAACCACCTCCAGAGTGTTCACCCGTTTGGAAACAAGTGCAGAAGAGAAATGGGAGAAAAGTGACAAAAAATTGCCAGTACTGTATAATCTATTACCTCAGGGGAATTACAGATTGAGCCCACTCACCTGGGTATGTTTGCGGAAAAATACCCCTTGCACTTTCCCAAACACCTCATAGTCCACCGAAACGAGGCCTTGCCCCTCAGCCATGGTCGGGGGTGCCTGTAGTGAAAGCACAATAGCAATGAGGCAGAAAAAGAGAGGCAGGTGCCATCCCCACAGGGAGACTGTCCGTCGAGCAACCTCCAAAGACTGCATTGTCGAAGCGATCCGCTCTCCGGTGCCCTTATAACTAAATTAATCTGACTCTCGCTTCCCTCCCCGGCGTCCTGCAGGGGAAGTTGGAGGGCAAGGCATGGCTCCGACAGGCCCCTCCCTTATTTCCACCCCGTTGGATATAGAAGACAGAAGCCTCTGAGACCTGCCGGATCAGGTTTCGCTCGGCAACACGAAGGTTTCTCTGCCAGCTTCGCAGATGGCTGTCCAAAGAGACCCTCCCCCTAGAACCGACCGGGCGCGAGCGGCGCACCAACGGCCACTAACGACGAACACACCTCGCAAGACCGGCTTCAGTTCAGTATATAGAACCAAAGTGGAATTAATTAAACGAGTAATAGTCGAACAGCGCTGCTTTTTTATGGCTAAACGGCGGCCAGCTTGGGCTATAACTGATATAACATAATTACGAAAAGACGGTGTGATTCCTAAAGACTCTCACCCACCGGAAGCCGCTGAGGTGGAATCGGATGTAGCGGGCGCGCTGTTGTTGCTACGCAACGGTGCTAAACCGCCGCTCGAAGGTCTGGTGGCCAGAGGTAAGAGAAAACAGGCAGGCGGGCACGGCGTGGCGTGGCGTGCTCAGCGGTTGTGTGTCTGGAGCCGGCGGGCAGGCTACTTTGGTAGGTGCGTGAATTCAAGTTGAAGCAGCGACATTGTGTCCGTCGGTTCCCTCTTCCCTGAGTTTTGTCAAATTTCGAACCGGCAGTTCTGGTCCCATTACAGTGTAAAATCATTAATGGAGACGAGCGCTAGTTTAATACTGTGTAAGCTGTAGCGGCCGCCGTTGGGGAAAAAAAAAGGCTTTCCCTTCACTCCTCTTTTCTATAGAAGTAAACCCTAATAGCAAAAGCATTCACAATCCTTGGCTTCTCCCAGGTAACATTATAAAGCTAAGTGGAGTCGCATTTGTTTAGGGGAGACAACCAGAAATCCTCGGGTTGTAAGTTAGAACAGAAAGTAAAAAAAAAAAAAAAAACGTAGAAAAAAGGAATGGCAACTATTTTAAACTGGCCAAGAAATATGGAAGAGCCAATGGATTGGGATTCAACTGGAAGAATATTTTACCTACAGAGATAGGCATTAGGAAGGAAAATGATCTAGACCTAGAGTTTTACAGTTTTGAAAAGGTCATCTAAATATGATTTAGCTTTCTAAATCATATATATCATATATCTCTATATCTCTATATCTCTATATATCTATCGATATAGATATATATTCATATATATATATATATATTCATATATATAATCATATATCATATTTGGGCCAACGGTGCATCAAAAAAACACTCAAGACATTCATAGATCATATACACACACACACACACACACAGAGAGAGAGAGAGAGAGAGAGAGAGATTTCCATCAGCTTTAGGGGGTGTAAATTTTAATGAATTCTATATTTATTGTAGAAGTAAGGAAATGCTATGATGGAGGATGAAAAACACACAAATAAACAAATGTTTCCTGTTATGCGCATTCCATTCCCTTTCTGTCTTTGCTGTTTTAAAGCAATTTCTCTACTGTAAATACTGACTTGTTTTATTTATAACTTTTCTAAATTGGGAAAATGGGAAACAAATATAAATCTGAAGGGAGTACATTTTGTAGCCTGAGAAAAACATAGTACGTTCCAAATATATCTTGAAAAGAACATATTTTACAGATATTGATCTTTGGACATATTTGTAATAGAAAAGGCCAGACCCTTATATATGTCAGATCCCACATGCTATTAGGATTTTGAAAACTTAATATCAACATGGATCAATTTAAATTACATCAATAAACATCCGGCAGCCAATGAAGATTTTTCATATACATACTGTTATTCCTTGAAATTTGCTTTGATTATTAGTCTGGCTGCCTCCTTTTACACCAAATGCAATTTCTGGATATTTTTCAAGGTTAGGTCCATTTTATATGTTACAGTAACCAAGATGGGATATACTGTAGTGAAGATATGGACAGTTGTTGCTAACTCAATTAATTTAGAAATTGTAACTATCTGTGCAAATGTAATTCTCACAATCTTAAGTCCAATGGCAGCCAATTAAACAGCATGTTCAGACTATGTAGCAGTTATTTTATTTCAGGTGGAATCCCATCAAAACAAACTAAACATCAGTTCACAAATCTGGTCCCAAGACCCATTCTTACCAGACAATCTAGGAACATACCTTTGTTTAGCATGCACAGCTATTGAAATCTAGCACAATTAGCCAGTCTTCACACATATATGTATTTTTTAGCTTGGTTCACCAAAGTAATGTTTGTGTCACATCACTGCCAAATGAACTGAAATGCATTGTGTGAGTCTGTTATTGGTGTATAATTGCATAAGCATCCATAATCGATGGACTATTTTTTTTTAAACTAAGATCTTACGTCTGCTGTCTTTAGGCAAGAAATAATATCCCATCTTCAAGGAAGCATTGCTCACTCCCTAAAATATGGGACCAGTTGTGGTTGGTTTAATAAACCAGGAAGGGCAAGGATCAAATAATCAGGTGTTAGCCTAGCTCTGTACAATCTTTTATATTCTAGAGATCTACAAACAATCAGAGGAAAAAATGTCAGGATTATAACCTTATGATATACCCAGTACTTCAAGCTGAGATAGATCTGATTGTATGCAAAAATTATGTGAATTCTTCTTCCCTCTACTGCAAAATCTTGGCAAAGAAGGTGTTGCGGAGTACAAAATAGAAATGTTGATTTATTATTTAGAAATGCAATGAAGGCAAATGGAGATTATGCAGGGTGTGGTCAAAAATGTCACAATGCAACCATGATTGGAGACAGGGAAGGAGCAACTTTGTTTCTTCCAGTGTTGTACAGGTAACCTTAAAATGATCTCAGTGTAAGACACTCGACTTCCAGTTTTTGTTTTTCCTATTCACTTCCTTTTTTCTCAGCTCCCTAGTAACCCTAAGGGTTATTTGTGCCCTCAAGAGTTGTGATCCTAACCACTAAAATTATTTCCATATTTTGCAGATTATTCAGACTGTCAGCATTATGGCTGACAAAGTAGAAAATTCCTCCAAATACATTCTATGCAATCTAATAACTGTCCAGAATAAGATAGGTGTGAATTGGGCAGCTTTTATGGTTTCCATATTCAGACTGTGAGATATATTAGATGCAATGCAGGACTGTTAAACTACGTTCTTTCATTTGCACACTTCTTTTTATTGATCATGGCTGAAATCCTACATTGATTCTGTTGAAGGATAATATTCATTTAGATTACTTGCAATCAGAGCACATTTTCTCAACCATAATAAAGGAATATTAGAATGAGAGCTGAAATTATAGCATGTATATAATTTGTTGCATTTCCTCAGATTTAGTGGAAATGCTGAATGGCTCAGTTGCAGCTGGCTGTGTGTTCGCATATGGATCCAATAGCATCCAATTCCAGTCTTCCTGCCACAAGTCAGGAAAGATGTCATCCTGAAGTTCTTAAAGAACAGTCCCAATTAGAACATCTGAGGAATAATACCCAGCAGCAACTTGTGTGCTATAAAGATAAGAAATTGAAAGATCTTCATGTTCCCAAAGAGCGGAGCTCTTCCTGTACTCAACCTGCAGAAAGTAGTCAGTTGGTCTTAGAGAAAGCAGGTTTTTATTCTGCTGGCCCCCATAACTGGTGTTTCAAGAGTCAGGCCAGCACTGTGCCTTCCCACTGGAGAATGAAGCGGAGAGAAGGCGTTGACAGAGCATATCCACTTAAGCCGGTCTTTCACCCAAAATCTGGGAATGGTCTCTTACCAAGTTCTTGGCAAGTTGGAAATGCAGCAGCTACAGAGATTCCTTCCTGTGGGATTAGCTCAGAGAAAACAAAAGTGTCACATGGGGTGAAGGCTCAGCCTGTAGGGATGCACTCTCCTTTTTCTGTACAACAATCTAATAGAACAACTTCTCATTCACAAAGAGCAGAGTCAGGCTATATTCAAAAACTGGAGGCTGCTGGGCGGAGTTTGGAGGAGGAGATCCAGCGAAAGGAGGCTCTCCTTAGGGAGAAACTAAGGAAAACAGAGGAAGAGCTCCGTAAAATCCAGTCGAAAAGGCAGCAGACTAAAGCAGAAGCAAGAAGAGAGCAAGGAGGATTAAGGATGCCTGAGAAGAAAATGACAGCCATTTCTCAAGATTGTGATTCCAAATCTACCACACAATTACGTGATGATGATCAAAAAATGCTTGTTCCAGAGACTATGATAGCTTCAATTGGGACTGCCCTGCTTCCACAGACACTTCATATGGAAAGGCTCAAAAAGCAACGATTGATAGCTAGCAACAATAAAATTCGAGATAACTTCTCCAATATTTCTTCCACTCACAGCCTAGAAACAGCAACTGTACGCAACCAGTCTTGTTCTCTAACAGCAACCCCAGTAGCTAATGCAGAATCAATGGCAGCAGAACCATCATATACAGAGATCCAAAATGATATAGAAGATTGGGGAGAATGCAGTTTTTGTGGACGGAGACTTTACTGTTCCAGATTGGAGAAACATATGAATATTTGCAGCAAGAATCATGGATCCAAGAGAAAAGTGTTTGATTCAAGCAAGGCTAGAGCAAAGGGCACTGAATTGGAAACATATCATCTCTTGAAGGGCTCAGATATTTCACAGGTGATGTCCATACTAATTTATTACATGTATCCTCCTCCTGTGGTTTATATGGGGGTTATCATTGCATTTTCTAATTCTTATGTTTTCCAGCCTTAAGCTTGAGCAGCATCTGGCTAGTATAGAATTCAGTCTTTTTCTTCTGACTTTCTTTAAAAGAGACCTCTTTCTTAATACCACTTGATGGACCATAATTAGTTTTTAATTTCCATCATTTAAATACAGTAATAAATATGATGACTACTGAAAATGATGTTTGGAAGAGACCAAAAAATAAGGCAAAATCTCCATTAATGTTTATTTAAGATACTCGTACTTGGCCTAAAAATACAGAGCAAGGTTAACATTTTTTAACCTTTATTATTCATGAAAATGGAGGCAATGAGATTGTGAAAATAAATGATTAAAATTGTTACATTACAGAATCTGTAATGAATGCTCAAAAGGCACTGCAACAAGACAGATTGACAATTGGTTCTAGGGAAAAACCATAAAAATGAAAAAAACATTTATATTTAGGATGAGGAAGGAACATAATGCAGTAGGATCAAAAGTTATCTTCTTCACACTATCCAATTCATAACATTCTTGCTAGTGCAGTAAATTTCATTCACAATTCAATTATGGTATTGAATTATTTTAATGATGGCATAGATTATATTATCAGCTTGAAATGACCTAAGGAGGAAGGGGAAATGATTTAAAAAATAAATAAATTTCACCCTTTACATACATTTTACAGTCCCAGTAATTTAATTTTAAAAATTCAAAATGTCTGGCATTAGAAATAATCTACTCGTATATATGACAATATAACTTTTATAAAGAACTTCTATAGATAGCTCTCATGGCAAAGTGGTTAAAATGCAGTACTGCAGGCAAACTCTGCCCAAAACCTAGAGTTCAAGATTGACTCGGCTTTCCATCCTTTGGGGTCAGAAAAATAAGGACCCAGATTGTTGGGGGCAATATGTAAATAAGGCTTCTACATTGTAAACTACCCAGAGAGTGTTGTAAAGCGCTATGGGACTGTATATAGACCTAAATTGCTATGCTATTGCTATATTAGCCTAAATGCTATTGGTATTGCTATAAAAATAGTTACAGGAATGATAACAGTATGCGCTAACAAAGTTGCATTAATTATTTTTAATTATTTTTCCCACTTCCCTTTCTTGCTGCAGAAAAAAACTTCCAGCCACAGTCTTGAGGCTTCTGAGCAAAGCAATGCTACATCTAAACAAAGCAATTGGAGACAGAAGCATGACTCTTTCATCAAGACTTTGCGCAGGGCTCGTGAAGTGCAGCGCATCATCTCCAAAGGCGGAAAGGCCTCAGATCTTCCCCCAGCACCAGCTATGGAAAATCCAGACTACAAATTGTGTCCATATTGCACTCGTCAGTTTGCACCCAAGGTTGCTGAGAGACATATTCCCAAGTGCAAGAACATTAAGAACAGACCTCCTCCACCACAGCAAAAAAAGCGTTGCTAGTAAATAGACAAGATGATATCTGCAACTGGTGTAATCCTACTTAGATTTCTTGTAATTTTTCTCAGTTTAAGGCTACTGAGTGGCAGTTTCAGTGTAAAACCAATGAGAAATCCACAAATTTTAAATTATCATTAACCCTTTATACTACAGGTCAAGGCACCTAGATGGACAAAAAGTGGTGTTGTCTTCATCCTCTCAAAATTTTGTATTCTGTAAAAATGGGTCACTGGGATTCCTTACATATTTTGCAGTGGAAATTTTTGAAAAAAGGCCCTGCAAAAAGGCCTATTAAAAATTGGAAGAAAATAATGACATTCTTATAAATCATGGCTCTATACTTGTGACTCTTTGATGGCACCTGGGATCAGTTATTTCTTCTATGAGCTGCCCAAGATAAATGATTCCCATTTCTGTGCTGAATATCTAAGAAAAAGCACCCATGTTCTAGAAAATTAACATTTTAAATATTAGAATGATAGCTGGCAAAGAATAAGAGCTATTTCAATGTATTATGTATTACTATTTACAGTGGCTGGGAAAAGCTTTACAGTCAGTTTTGTTTCCTGTTTTGTAGTACTACATAAAGTTAGTCTTCCTTCAAAGTAACCTACACAAATTGCTGTAAAAGAAAAAAGTGGAAGTTTTGATGAATTGTTCTCTATAGCATAATTGTAGTACCTGATTTTCATCTCTGTAACTTTAAGATTAGTGAAAGGAAACTAAAATAGTTATTTGGAAGTGGTCATTTGTTTAGCTCTGCCTTTGCTAACAGATGGATGATTAAAATGTCTGGGAATAGGTCAACAAGAACAATCAGCAAACAAATGGAATAAATATATTTATATGCAAACTAGCTGTCTTCAGGCAACAAGCATGGTCTATAATAAAATAGGTAGAACATAACTTGCTTGCAAAGGCAAATGTAGTATTTGCTGAAAGTGGAAACATATGGATGAATGCTTTGTTTGGAAAGTACCAATTTTACATAATACACTGTATAGTATGTGATTCCCCAAAATTGAATTGCTAGTTTTATCTGAGCCTCAAATTTTCAATGATCTGGTGCTAACTTAAAATTTCAAGAAAAGTGGAAAGCTTCATTTTGCAATAATAGGTTTAAAATTCAGTATTTATGTGATGTGAAAAATAATTGTTGCCTATGCTGCTAATTTTGTTGGAAGCGAAAACATATAAAGAATGGTTGCAGGAATTGGAGTATGTCTAATTTGATGGGGGGAAAAAGGAATGAAGGGTGACATGATAGGAAGTTCCAGTATCTAAGGGGCTCTAAGAAGAGGAAGTCAACCAATTCTCCAAAGCATCTGAAGGCAGAATAAGAAGCAATGGCTGGAAAGTAATCAAGCAGAGAACCACCTAGAACTAAGGAGAAATTTCCTGACAGAACAATTAAAGTAATCAGTGGAACAACTTGCCTCCAGAAATTGTGGGTGCTCCAACACAGGAGATTTTCAAGAAGAGATTGGACAACCAATGGTATAGGATTTCTTGCTCAAGCAGGGGGCTGAAATAGAAGCTCTCCAAGGTCCCTTTTAATTCTGTAATTCTGCTAACGTTATTTCACTAACAAAATGTCAAATGGATTTAAGCAGGAAACTTGGCTTTCACCAGCTTATTTTCTTCATTTTTTCTATCCAGCTTCAGCAGGGAAGCTGTTTAATAGCTCTTTTGCACCATGAATTTAAATTATTTCAAAATGAAAGAAATCTCAGATTTCATTTCTTGAGTAATAGCCATTTATATTTTTTATCAAATCAGATTTTATTAGAAGTTGATGAGGTAAAATACAAGATACGGTAATCAGATTGCTAGATTCTGTGCCTATATTTTGGTTTTGGAGATATTTGCACAAGGTATGATAATCAAAATTTGTCATTAATCCTGGTTTGCTATGACCCTGCTTGTATATGCAGTTCTTTAATTTTTGAGAAACAAAAAAAATATTTTTATTTATATAAAATTTATGTAGCTGCCCCTCTGACAACAGGCTTGGTACACCACCTGAACTTGCAATTCTGTTTGTGGCTCAAATTCAAATGGGATAATAAATTCAGTTTGTTTTACAAATCTTAAAATTATTTATACAAGCACAAGTACTATATTAGTATATCATGGTAAATGCAAGGTGCTTGTATTAATGGGAGGACCAATGATTGCTTTTTCATTATAGATCAGTAGTGTTTATAGTTCTGTACAATGCAGCCATACTGTTGTTTTTGCGTCTATTGGGTAGAAGGCAGCGGTTTGCTTTATTTTCCTTGAGCCATGTCGTCTTTTAGAAAGCTGTCCTATAGTTTCAATATGGATAAGTCTAATGTGTACAGTAAGAAAAAGATTTTTGTCTGAAGACCTTTTTTGGATACAGTAAACTCTAAGATTAAGCTAAACCTCAAAATGTCTTTTAAAGTGATATACCACCCCTGATTGCAATATATGTTATATATTCTCATTTATTTTTTTATTAATCAAATTTATATACCCCCATCTCACTATCTAAATGTCTCATGGCTGTTTACAAATAAAAAAAAAATAACATAGACAAAGCTAAAAAACAAAGTTAAGAAGCTAAAAAGAGAGCCAGTTTAGTTTAGTGGTTAAGACACCATCCTAGAAGCCCAGGTTGCATGCCACCATTGGATCCCCATGCTAATATAGCCGGTTCTTAGGTTTTGGAAAACCAGAAGAGTGGGAGGCCAACCTCATCTTAGGGGGCAAAATATTCCTTAGGCTTTTTTCCTTGACTCCACCCAAAAATTTTTTTTTATCTCATGGAGTCTGCAGCATACTTCTCCCATCAGTTCAGTATCAATAGATAGGCAATCTCTACAAAGGTATTATTTTTTTATCACATGGCACAGGTTGGCAATACAAACATTATTAGAAGTGTAGCTTCATAATTCTAGGGTATGTTGTATGAACTCAACCTATATGGAGAGATTTCTCTTCTTCTACATTATTTTTCATGTTGTTTTCTGAAGTTGCCTAAAACAGCTTATTTACTATCATGAAGTCATAAGAATGTACAAGAAGCTTTCCCAAATAAATTGTGTTTTGTCTTTTCCCTGATTCAATCAAACATGCAGATGCATTAACCTGTTCTGAAGTGATTAATGTATTTTCCAGAAAGGTATATTTCAGCAGTGCTTGAATAGTACTGGTTCTTCTACTTTCTGATGGTTTTTATCTTCTAAGCTCATATACCCAATACTCAGGAACCAAAAAGTGCTTTGTAATCCCCTTATCAATTATCTGATATACAGCTGTTTTTCTTCAAGACACACTATTATATAAATGAAAGGTGGTCTTATCAGTATTCTTTGTTCAAGCCTAATTATATATGATCCATCAGCACCAAATGAATATGTTGTTATTGATGTGTCCTGCTCATCATCTTGATCGGTATTGTATAATTTATATTCTTGATAAAAGCAGTCTTCGGTTAATGATGATCATTGGGACTGAAGTTTTCCATTACTAAGCAAGCAATGTGGTTGTACAGCATGAGGTCTTGCAACATCTCCTAGTAATGGCAATCCCAGTACTCCCTGCTGTTATTTAAGCAAGGATCATGGGTTGTTAAGGAAGCCCCATGTGGCTTGCCAGCAAGCTGGATGTATGTGCTGCTGAGTAGAAGATACACAGGTGGCTGACATAGCACAGTAAGGCTCCGAGTTGCTGCTTCTGAGCAGAGGATATGCAGATGGCGAATGTGGCTGTGCTGGGGGTGTCTATTGCTGGGGGGTAATTGCATGGTGTGGTATGAGTGCAGCAGGGGCAGAGATAGCTGCTGCTGGAGTGGAGAGAGTGCAAGTGACTTACCAATGACTTGTGACTTTCCCTACCAGCTCCCCTATTGACTTTGCTTGTGGGAAGCCAGTGAAGGTCACAAATAGCAATCAAATTAATATAAGAGTGCTGGGATGGCTGAAACTTGAGGACCAATTGTAAATACCACTTGGTTAGCCCTGACATAAATTCAAAGTTGTTGCTGCATGAGTGGTTGTTAAATGAAAACAACTGTAATCATAATGACAACTAAAGGACTAAAGGTATAAGCAATATAATATAGAGAGAAAAATGTTAGTGATAATTAAGTTTTACCTTTGATTAGTTTTAAGTGTTATAAGATTTTCATATCTTGCAGTAGAATTTCTAAAAAACAGCAGTAGCAGGAGGAAGATAAACGTTGCCTGTGAAAATGTGGACCAAGTTTACCATGTCTGATCACGATAAATGTAAAACCAAGCAACCTCAAATGTGTGTTCCTTGAAATATCTTCAATTTCTATTAGAGCGAATGAGGACAAAAACAATTGAGTGTCAAAATTTATTTAAACAGAAAACATCAAACCATTCCACTATTGGGTTTTAGAAAAACAGATTACAACGAAATAATTTTCATATACTGTATTTCACTATAATAGAGCAATAGCAATGCTAGTAAATAACCGTCATCTAAGAACTAGCATTGCTGAAAAAGAGAGAACGGAAATGGACTTCTCAAAGGCACTTTGTCCTTTCCCTTCATCCTTTAGGTGGGACAAAATCTGCACTTCGGTTGCATAGCAGGGCTGGGGCATATATCAGGATCTATAACAGGCACAACTTGCACGGTATTATGTTTAAAGGCACATGTATTGCTGAGTGATCACAACTCAGTACGGTGAATTAGTACTGCATTCAATTGTAGAGCTCTGAGAAATAAAAAGGGCTCTGTAAAATAGTGATTCTCATCTGCTCCATGATTTCTTACTGGATGTAGCCCCAACATAATTGTTCTTTATAAAAAACCTCTGTTGATGAAACAGTATTTTCATATGGGGTGAAAAAAACTTCAGTAATTTTTGGAGGGCAAGAAATCAACCAAACGGCACAGTGGTCTATTAAATATTTTAACAGACCAAATTTTGCTTTAACGCTCTTCCCCTTCTCCTTTTCTCAGTCTGATCAAATTATAGAATACGTAAGAGATGTTGGAGATAAATGAGAAGTTGAGATTAAAATCAAGGGCCTATCAAATGAAATAACGGACACAAGCATACAAAAGAAGTTTTTCTAAAAGTTATAGTTAAGCTGTAATAAAACCCCATACTACTGTAAAGAGAAATGCAGAAGTATTTTTTAGAAATTATATCTATCCCAAAGGAGTAAGATAGTGAAGTAATCCAATTAACAAAAATATCAATTTCATTTTTAAATGTGAAAAATAAAGCAACATACCTTCAAAAAAAAAAATTCATGCATAGTAATAATACTAGAGAAGAAGTTCTGAAGTGATGTATAATTGATTGTGGCAATTATATTTGATGTACGTACTTTGTTAAAAGTAATATTTAAGTCCCGTTTCATTAAGTATTGAAAGGAAGCAAAAATACTGATTTAGGGCAAAAAGAAGATGTTATTGGAATTCAGGCCAATAACTGAATAATATGAGTCAAGTCATAAATGTGTCTGATTTCAAATTCCAATCACTCTTTGTCTGACACCAAAAGCAGTGCTTGTGAGTTCTAAAGCTAGAGATTCGGAGTAGTTGAAAGAGTTCAGCCAGTTCTTTTGCATTTAAACAATGCCTAACAGCAATGAAAACAAAAGGGTGCTTGATGTCCTTCTCCAACATCCCTGAAACTATAAATAGGTTATCTGCAGACTGATATATATGTGACTAGAAATGAATCTAAATAGAAACTTGTTTTTTTTTCTGTTTGGGATGCTTTCATCCACTTATTAAAAATATTTCTCCTTCAAACTTCATTCTTAGAGGTGAAGATGCTTCTCCTTTCACCTTATCAGCTAAAAAGTAACTCAGAGCATTCAATTTTACTGTGAATGTAGGTGTTGCTGGTTTTCTCTTTTCAATATATTTTCATCTTTGAATTGCTTGAAGACGAAGTGAATGCTGTTGCGGATGCAATGCTGTTCTTTGAGTTCTTTTAAAGTTAGGAAATAAATGAAGTGCTGCTGCTGGAACTATTCCTGGGATGGTGTTACTGACTCAACAATACACTGAGAGAACTCACTATTGTCATACCTGCACAAACTCTGGTTTGAATTTAAGTGTTCACACACTCTCTAAATTCCCTCCTAGTTTCATAGCTTAAGGCAGTGCTTCCTCTCTTGCATACATGGAGGCTATGGAGACTCTTGACTTCAATGTTCACAAAGGACCTGAATCTAGGAAAGCTGTTCTCT